TTTGACTCGATTTCTTCTAGCAAGTGTCCCCAGGGCGACATGCTGGATGACTGTAGATCCTTGTAGTCTCCCCTGGGTGACCGTCGAGCGCATGCAGACTCTGCCACGGTGGGTCGGCTGCGACATGTGGTCCCCCCTGACGCCTGTGGGTTCGTCCCGGGGAGTGCATATGACAGGGGGTCCGGGCCTGCCTGTCACAGCGCTCCCCTCAGGCTGGTGACGCCGCGGCTACGGTCGGGGGCGTCTTCCTACCGTTTCCCTACTCGTCCTGGATCCTGGTTGTGGAGTCCAGCCTTCGCTCCGTGGGGGTATGTATGTGGGGTCTGCGGTGGATGTGTCGTGGGGACCTGGAGCTGCAGCCTCCCGTCTCCCCCCTCCCCCCTGCCTCATGGTGCTCGGGCTTCAGTGGGCCGCAGATGGGCTCCTGTGCGGGCTGCCTTGGGGGGGACTTAGGCTCTGGGGGAGCTTCTCGGGCCCCCTCCGTGAGGTAAGCTTTGGCTGCGCTGTTCTCTCACAGCTGCAGCCTCCTGTCTCCCCCCTGCCATGGTGCTCGGGCTTCAGTGGGCCATAGATGGGCTCCTGTGGTTCAAAGGGTTTTATTCAAACCTATTTACTGTGCCCAAGAAAGAGGGGGTGTGGCCCATCCTGGACCTCAGGCGTTTGAACACCTTCGTGTGGGCCCGTCGGTTCCGGATGGAGTCGATCCGGTCCGTGGCGGCCTGGCTTCGTCAGGGAGATCTTCTGGCCTTCATCGAGATTCGGGATGCATACCCTCATGTACCCGTTTGCGAGTCTCATCAGCGATATCTTCGTTTCGAGGTGGGGGAGGACCATTTTCAGTTTGTGGCGCTGGCGTCGGCCCCACTTGTGTTTCACCAGGGTGCTGGCCCCGATCCTGGAGTTGCCGGGGAGTTTCGATTGTGGGGTGCCTGGACGTTCTGCTCCTACGGGCGGAGTCGCATTCTTCGATGGTGACGGCTCTGGGGGTCACGGTGCGGTCCTTGGTGGAGTTCGGGTGGCTGCTGGACATGCGAAAGTTTTGCCTGGTGCCCTCTCCACGCCTGGAGTATCTGGGTTTGGTTCTGGACATAAACTGGAGACTTGTCAGCAGGTGGGGGGTTTGGCCACCGGCAGGGGCCGCCCCTAGGCTGTAATTGGTCTTTAGTTTTGTGCCTAGCGTCCTTCTCCTGCAGGTGGCGATATTACCCTACCATTCAGGATCTACGATCTGTTGCCTGTGTCCTTCAATGAACGGAGAGAAAAGGATTTTACGGTGAGTACAAAAATCCTATTTTTTTTAAATTGATGCTTTTTACTATTTCTGTACAATCTTACATTTACACATGTACATTAAATACATGGTTCATCCATGGCATTGGATTATTTGGGTTTCTTGAAGGATGAGCACAGCAGAGGTTGTTCGCGTTTAGGCCTCATTCCCACTGCTAAGAGCCGGCCCGTACAGATCCGTGCGGCGTGCCACGGCCGTATCAGGCCGGTCCCTTCAAGGACAGGTGCTGCCTGTGATTGTACGCAGCAGCCTGTTCTTCTCTATGGGAGTACGCGGCCGTACGCTCACCCGAGCTGCACATCTGTGCGGGTGTCTGTACTCTTATGCAGACAGGATATATCCTGTCTACGTCCGAGCACGGACACCCACACAGATGTGCACTTTGCGTGAGCGTACGGCCGCGTACTCCCATAGAGAACAGGCTGCTGCGTACAATCACAGGCAGCACCTGTCCTTCCCGAGAGCAGCCCGATACGGCCGTGCACGCCTCACGGATCTGTACGAGCTTGCTCTTAGCAGTGTGAATGAAGCCTTAGACTAAACCCCTCCAATCTCAAAGTGGCGATTGTATGAACAGAGGTGTAGATGAGGGAAGGTTACTCACTCCTCCGCTTCATTCCGATGATGAGCTATTGAGCTCTGGAAACAGACTATTTCAGCAAAGCAGTTAAGATTCGCCTGGTAAACCTTTTTAAAGAACCCAGGCATGCTGACTGATAATGTAAATGTGAAAAAGTCAAAATGTGACTGACAAAAAAAATGTGCTTTTAACAATGTATAAAAGACAAGCTTTCGAGAGTGAACCTCTCCTTCAGGTCAGAAGCAATACCTGACCTGAAGAAGAGAGGTTCACTCTCGAAAGCTTGTCTTTTATATATTTTGTTAGTCCAATAAGAAAAGTATCATTGCACACTGCAATACTGCGTTTTTGTCTTTTTTGACATCTTGTCTACTGGACTAATACGGCTTATATATAGATAGATATATAATTCCCTTTTAAGTATAATATTCTCCGTTTTAGAAAGCAGCCCTTGAAATCTGCAAGCAACACACCTGTTTGTCTGGACTCTGAAAGTGATGACGAGCATCTGAAGAGATGTGTGGCCAGCACCCAAAGGCTGAGCACCATTTTTCAGGGAAAGGAGCAGCAGACTGAAGACCAGGTGACCAATCCTGATTATTTTTTGGTGAAGCACTGATGTGTGTTTCTTCTATGTAGCCAGAAGTTTGCCTGGAGCGATACCACTATGACGAGTTGTCCTTATGTAGACTCATTGGATAGCTCGGTGGCACTGTGAATTACCTGATTGCTGAAGTAACATGGAAAGTGTGTGCGCATGACTGATGGAGAGGGAAATCTCTAAGCCAACCAAGACTCCTTTTACTTAGCACAGTGTTGTCAGTCTAAAACTATCAGCATGGTTACCAGGGTGGGGAATGCTGTGATCACTTCATAAATGTATTTCTGATCATCAATTATCCAGTCACAAGCTTGGCTTCATACTGGATTCCAGTGCAGTCTGCAAATTGGTTGCAAGCCTGGCTATGATGTCTGGCAGAAGCTCCAGTTCACCTATATGTATTTTAACTGTATATTTTGCCAGTTAGCTTGATATACACATTTCAACTAAATATTTTGCTGTTGCCTTACATTAGAAAACTGCAACAACTTTACAATTCAGTAACCTAGAACACAATCCTATATCAATCTGGACTGATGTGATTGCATCGGCCCTAAAGCAGAATTCCAGGTAAATTTATGAACCTTTGCAGTGGAGCTACCCCTGCACTGCAAGGGTTAAGTGCTGTTTTTTGTCTAGGTAAGAAAATAAGTTATACTCCTGATCCTCCAAGACGGCCGGCTCTTAGAAGAGTCCCTGGGGCCTCTCTCCACTGCAATGGTTTAAGGCAGGTATAGCCAAACTCCGGCCCTCCAGCTGTGGTGAAACTACAAATCCTATGATGCATCTCTCTCTGGGAGTCATGTCCATGAGAATCCTGCAATGCCTCATGGGATTTGTAGTTCCACCACAGCTGGAATGCCGGAGTTTGGCTACCCCTGGTCTAAGGTCTCTGCTGAAGGGTATGGTAGTAGTATAACTTTATTTTCCTCCCTGGACCAAAATGAGCTCTTAACCCTTGCAGTGTGGGGGTAGCCCCACTGCAAGGGTTAATAAAGTTTACCCAGAGTTCTCCTTTAATCCTTCATAATAGTCTATATAGAGTTTTTAAGGAGTTTACAACTTTCTGAAATTAAACCCAAGAACAAATATATAACATATTGCAGCTTACGCGTCCTTAGATGTGGTGGCTGCATTAGTTTCCTTTTTTAGAACTTTTGATTTTCACGTTATACCGCCAATAACCCACTTCCTATCCTAGGGTGACAATGTTCACTCACTGTGCTGTATCTATGGAGGGGCAACATTGTTACCCTAGGACAAGAATTGTAAGGACTACAGAGAACCTCCTTCTCTCCTCATCACCATAACCTAAAGTGGGGGGGGGAGACCTCAGCCAGGTCTTATAGCACTTCTTGAGATTTCAGTGCAACACGGGTAAAGTACATACAATCTCGCTGGATTTATGGCGAATTTTTTTTTTTTTACCCTTATTGAAAAGATCTAACAAAACACTTTTTAATGGTACGTCGGTCCGAGAGGCAGTAAATAAGAGAAGTTCATTGTTGGGGGTTTACATTCACTTGAATCTGGTGAATAAATTGCATCTAAAGGTACTTCGCACCTTTTGTATCCAGTCCAAGATAAACCGCAGATCCAGACTTAAAATGGCCTAATCGTACCGGCAAAAGCTTTAAAGGAGAACTATGGGGGTTAAGGCTTTTCCCCATAGTTCTCCTTACGGTAACGGGAGGACACAAATTAGCGTCCTCCCGTCACCCAAAGCTCAGTATACCGCGAGCTGTAGCTCGCGGTATACTGAGAAGCTGAAGCGGATCCCGACAATTATGCCGGGATCCGCCCAGCTGCGTGACTGACAGCTGGCTCTGCCTATCTAGAGGCAGAGCCAGCTGTGCCCTCCCCTGTCCGTTCCGGCAGTCAGCGCTGGCGGAGCGGGGAGGGGGGAATTTAGCCCCTCCCCTGTCATGGCAGAGAGCCGTGACAGGATCGAGAGGTGAGCGAACGCCGGCATGTGTTCGCTCACCTCCCGATCTACTGAGCCGACCTGTGACAGTCTCATTGTCACAGGTCGGTTAGAACTATGAGGTGAGTGAAAAGCATTCGCCTCATAGTTCTCCTTTTTAATAGCTGTTTGGTATAAGTTGGTGCGGAACTTTTTGTTCTCAATAAAAATTCCTGTTTCCTTCTCTATCCAAAAGAAACCAAAAGCACAAAGCCCCAAATGCCCAGAGGTGGCTGACACAAGCTTCGATGACATGAATGATGAAGATCTGATGGCTGCCGTTATTGAAATTAGCAAAAAAGACAGTCCCATGGGTCAAGAGGAGGAGAAACTTGCAAGCAGCCCAGACACAGGATTTGGTGGCGATGACGACCTGCAGGAAACTACTGCCACTATGGAGGTGTCCGAAGAGCAGAAGTCGAATGTGGCAAAAGATTCAGGTGTGTGTGTGTATAAAAAAAATACTGCTGTGACTTTTTAACCCCTTCATGACTGAGCTTGTTTTTCGATTCTGTTCCTTAATGACTGACGCACTTTTTATCTTTTTGCTGTGTAATTCTTCCACGGCAGTAATCTACTTTCTTACTAAGTGCACCCACACATATATTGTTTTTTTTAGAGGACAGATGAGGCTATGTATTTATATCACACGTGTACCCAACGCATCACTTATGACAAATAAAATATTTTAAAAATGAGGAAAAACCATAAAGAAAACATTTTTTTTTTCCCCCCAGTTTTGATGTATTTTTTTTTAGAAACCCCTAGCACAATTAAAAAAAATCCATTAAAATGAATTCATTTATTTGTCCTGTTTTCTGTACTTCTCAGCGTAAAACTAAAAGCTAACATTTACATTTTTTTTTTCTCTAAAAGCTAATAGTGGTCACCTGCCATATAATGTCTCTAAATGTCACGCTTAGTGACAACGACAATTTAACCCCCTCATGACATCACTGTCATGAGAGGCTTAAATAATAAAATAAAAATAACCCCTTGGTGAAAAACAAATATGCAGCTTAGCAGGTCTTAGAGATTTTTACACTTTCCGCAGTTTATTTAAAGGAGAACTATGGGGTCAGGGCTTTTCCCCATAGTTCTCCTTAGGGTAACGGGAGGACGCAAACTAGCCTCCTCCCGTCACCCTAAGCTCAGTATACCGCGAGCTACAGCTCACGGTATACTGAGACGCCGGAGCGGATCCCGACATTGATGTCGAGATCTGCCCAGCTGCGTGAGTGACAGCTGGCTCTACCTATCTAGAGGCAGAGCCAGCTGTACCCGCCCCCTCCCCCGTCCGTTCCGCCAGTCAGCGCTGGATGATCGGAGGGGGGAGTCCAGCCCCTCCCCTGTCACGGCAGAGAGCCGTGACAGGATCGAGAGGTGAGCGAACGCCGGTATATGTTTGCTCACCTCCCGATCTACTGAGCCGACCTGTGACAGTCTCATTGTCACAGGTCGGCTAGAACTATGAGGTGAGTGAAAAGCACGCCCCTCATAGTTCTCCTTTAAAAAATGTTTACGCTTTTTTTTATTTTTTATTCTATCAAGCAGTCATTGTGAATGAATCTCACTATGTTTGATAATGTAATTGTTTGGTTATTCAGTGACACTAAAGACTTTTGATCCCAGAAGGGTCAGAAGCTTGCAACACTGTTTCAGCAAAAGAAACCTGTAGCAAAATGTTTCTATTGCTGAAACTTTAGAAAAAGGCCGGTATATATGGAGATTTCCTAGTCCCGGTCCAGCTGTCAAACAGTGACAGCAAATGCAGTAAATACCGCTCTGCTCTCACTGTCAGGCACCCGATCCCTGAAAGTCATCAGGTGTCTGTTAAGGCTTAACTCTTCCATTAATAGATGTCTCGATACTGAGGCATCCATTAATGAATGGTAATTTTTAGCTATTTTCTGACACTCATTGAGGCTGGTTTGCTAAAGGATTTGAGAATGTTCACGCAATAAGTTGTGTGAAGAATCGCTTCAGTGATCCAATCATGTGAAAATAAAGTTCTTGTTTACTTATTTCATCTGCATTTGATTGGATAAATGAAGTCGGTATTTACACAAACGTTTTACTTTACTCACATTATGAACATTCTCAGTTCCTTTAGTAGATCAGCCCCTCGAGTCTTGTATTACTGAAAAATGGAATGTCTGACAGAGATGCAAATGCTCATTTCATTTGGAGGGAAAGAATAATGGTAATGTGTTCCTTGTTTCAGGTGTGACCCAGTACAGTGACTTGGTCAAAGACTTTGATGAGAATAAAGAGAACAAGACTCCGGAGGGGGCTCAGAATGAGGTGGAGTGGGTACAGTATGAGCTGGAGAGAGAGCGAGAGGAGCAGGAGCTGCAGCAGGCCCTCGCGCAGTCTCTTCAAGAGCAGGTGAGGGGAGCGACATGTTCTCCCTATAATTGTTTGGGTTTCCTCTGGGTACTTACGTCTTAATGTGTTTGCGTGTATGTGTGAGAGATGGGGAGGTCAAGATGGGGATGGTATGTAAAACGCTGCATAAATTGGCAGCACTATCAAAAATAACCTCTATTAATAAATAATGAGCGCCCGATTCTAAAAATCTCAGCGGCACTGAGCATTTCCTTTTGTAGAAATGAGAGTAGGCAACTTGTGACTTTAATTACTGACATATCTTCATTATACGGCTCCATTGTTTAAATAAATTCTATCATTCTGAATTTACGGGTTTTGTGTAATCTGATGTGCTTTGACTATGTAAAGTGAACCTGTGCTTTGCCCATACAATGCACTTAAATGCCTGCCTTCCCTTCCCTGTCACTATGTTAAGCTACCAAAAAGAAATGCCTGGTACTTTTGGGTATGGGGAAGCATGTGACTCATTGAATCACAAAGCAGCAATGGATTCCTGAGCAGGCATTCGCAAGGTGTCTGAGCTGCTGCATGCATGTGGGAAGGGGGGCAAGAGTTTTTAGCGTTGTGTAAGCTCTGACCACAGCAACTGGTTTACAATAGGCTTCTGCTACTTGCTCCGGCAGCTGAATGAAGTGTGTGGGGGGTCTGAAGAGGTGATGAGTATTAGGAGATGTTGGTGACGTGACTTCATATTTAAGTGAGCCCGTTTCTTTGCCCTTTATGGGGAAAATCACAGGTTTGCTTTGTTTTTATGTTTCCCTGTACATTATGGTTTTAAATGATTGTATGACACTTTGAAATCTGTCAATGTCTTGTTTTTGTTGCCTTTTATTTTTTTCATTTGCCTTAAAGGAGAAGTATGGGGTAAGTGTTTCCCCCATAGTTCTCCTACAGGTCATGGGAGGACACAAACTAGCGTCCTCCCGTGACACAAACCTAGGTAGCTCGCGGTATACAGAGACCGCCGCAGTCGGGACGGATCCCGACATTAATGTCGAGATCCACCCAGCTGCGTGATTGACAGCTGGCTCTGCCTATCTAGAGGCAGACCCAGCTGTACCCTCTCCCGTTCGTTCCGCCAGTCAGCGCTGGAGGATCGGAGCGGGGGGAGGTTGGGAATCCCTGCAAGGAGCTGTGAGTGACAGTCACGAACTATGAGGATGAGTGAAAATCACTGACCTCATAGTTCTCCTTTTAAACTAAAACTTTGTTTCTTTTGAAGGAGGCTCGAGAGCTAATGGAGGATGATGACCTAAAAAGAGCTACAGAACTGAGTTTACAAGGTGACATAACCACATTTTGTTTTGTTTTATGCATCTTCTTGGCAAGTGACCATCACGTTGTCATTTTAATAAAGATAACTGGTTGTTTTATTGATGTTTAGAGTTTAATAGCTCGATGCTGGATGGGATAATGTCAGATGAGGATTCTGGGAATGAAGACGTTTTCGACATGGAGTATACGGAAGAAGAAACTGAGGAACTTAAGAGAAATGCAGAGGTAACCATTTTCCAGCACTAAACTTATTTCACACTTTAAGGCCTCATTCACACACGAATCGGCCTGCACGTACAGCTCCGTGCTGCGTGCGGGGCCGTACCAAGTAGCTGCCGGGAAGGACAGGTGCTGCGTGTGATTAGAACGCAGCCCCCGTCCTTCTTCTCTATGGGGCTACACGGCCGTACGCCCCCCTACGCTCACCTTATTTGCAGGTCCATAGGGGTGCGGGTGATCGTATTCATACGCCGCCGGAATGGAACATGTATGCGTCCCGGCCAGAAAACCAGCACCTCTACGGACCTGCAAATGAGGTGAGCTTAGGGGGGCGTATGGCCGCATAGCCCCATAGAGAAGGACGGGTGCTGCGTTCTAATCACGCAGCACCTGTCCTTCCCGGCAGCTACTTGGTACGGCCCTGCACGGAGCTGTACGGGCAGGCCGATTCGTGTGTGAATGAGGCCTAAAGGCATAGTTCTTCTTTTGCAAACATTTTGTAAATGCGCCAACATTGATATAGTAAACAATGTGCGTTTAATCTTTCCATTGAGGCATTTAGAGAATTGAAACCACAATTAGTGCATCGCGGGTGGAATGCCCAGTCTCTTGATTGTTTACCTCCAGCACCATTACAGAAGTACGGACCTTCTGTTATAGAGCTGGAGGAAGTGCTGGCTGGAGTACAGTTGCCATGTCGTCAGGTGCACTCTGCTGCATCACTTTGCCGCGGTGGCCAATGCGAGTTGATTGATAACATGACTGCTGGTAGAGCTATGCACAAGCTTTGCTGAATTAATGTAAAAAAAAAAAATGCATCTGTGCATGGCTTTATCTGCACAGGCGAATCATCCATTCACAGATATCTCCTAAATGGAGAGATTACAAGTTCCATTTTTCACCGCAGCAGAGGGACACGTAGATCTCAATGGAGCAGATGTGCAGTGATGACACCTCACTTGAAGTCCATTGATTACTTTCTCCAGTCCCATAACAGAAGGTCCAGGAAGAGTCTGAAGGAGTCTGTGCATTGCACCCCTTAGTGCGGTTACAATGCTCTTCAGGCTCCAGTGCAAAAATGTAATAACTGCACAATTATTTTATTTTCATCATTGTTGGTGCATTTATTACATCTTTGCAAAAAGGTGAACTATGTGGTACTCTCACGCTCTCTCTCGCCTCTCTCTCTCTCTCTCTCTCCTCTCTCTCTCTCTCTCTCGCCTCTCTCTCTCTCTCTC